GCAGACAATGAATACCACCCTGTGTTTCTACTCAAAGACACACTGCACCCTCAAAGAAGATCTATGCCATACTGAAACTAAGAGAAAGCAGAATGGACAATCAGTACCCAAAAAAACCCATCAATAACAATATAAAAAACTGTACAAATAAACTAGAATTTGAAGAAGTGTTATTGAGAGCTACTTCAGAAACTCAGAAAAGCAACAGCAAATTATATACTCCAACAAGAGAGGTAAGATCTTAACGAAGACGCAAGAAGAATGGTATAACAGCAACCAGCAATAGAAAACAATATTTAACTAAAGGCCAAAACTGCAACATTTTAAAATAAAAAGCACTTTGTCAGCAATGAGGAAGAGCTGGCACTCCCCCCCCCCCCCCAAAGTTAAAACTTAGGGGGGGGGGGGGGGAGGAAGGAAAGGAAACACCATTCTCAAAATAAAAACTCAGGACTGGCATGAAAGTTTTAAAACTGGATCCACATGTAGGAAGTCAAGCATATTTTGTCCCTCCAATGTCAAAGTTTCCTCTACTGATGACAAAGCACCTTCTTAGAACTGCCCAGTCAACCCTTAACAGATCATATTATAAAAATCTATCCAACCCCACACTTCCCCCCCCCCCCCCCCCCCCACCCTCTTATTTTTATTTCAAAAAAGTACACCATATTCACCTTAACGACTAAACACTCAATATGCCTGAGAATAGGAGGATATAACTGCATACACACTCACTAATCTCAATGGAGGATAAAGGATTCTTTTCACCCATTAATCTCAATGGAGGATTAAAATTATTCTTTTTAAGAGGAATTGGATATGCAGTAAAAGCAATTCCTAAATCTGATGGCAACTACACACTTGGTGATTTTAATGCTCGCAGCCCATTCTGTCTTCTCTGATCTCAGATTTCCTTTGTGATTCCATCTATATGTTGGTGAATATATAATGAAACAAGATTTTAATGCTCGCATTCTATATTCATTGGCCATTGCAACATTATGGGAAATGGGTGAGCAGATGCTGCAAGGCATTGTGGAGTAGAGAAAAAAAGAGGGAGAAGAAAAATCAGATGTAAGATGTACTTTTGGGACAAGTACAGAAATTTAAGTATCTAGGCAGGTAGATAACATCTGCTGGAAGATTTGTCACAGAGATAAAGAGTAGGCCAAAACTGCATTTTATAAAATCAAGAAGACTTTGTGCAATAAATGCGAGTCATTGGAGGTCAGAAAATAATTCTTACATGCTATATAGAGCCAGCTTTAATATACGGCTGTAAAGCCTGGACAAATAATAAACCACCCAAACATTATCTTGAGGCCTCTGTGGTTTTACAAAAGAATCTTTAGATATCCTTGGACAGCTCAGAAGAGCAACCCAGATATTTTTAAAGAGGCGGAGGCTTGAAGACAACTTATCACAAACATCAGAAAGAGACAGTCATCAATTTCTGGTCATGTTAAGAGGAAAACTGGAACATATTGTGACCACTAGAAAGATATGTGAAAAGAAAGAAAGAGGAAGACAGCGTGAGAACATTCTTGACAGTTTTTGTCATGGCATGAAGGATTGTCAACACACAAACTTATACACTCAGCTGCAGAACGCGGATTGTGCAGAGGCTTGATCGCCCATGCCAGACGGCAAGGCATTTGATAATGGTGATGTGCTAGACAGTGTGCTGACAACTACCGGAGCCAGTTATGTGAAAACATTCAAAATGCTAGCAGTAGTAGAAACATTAGAGGCATGTATGAAGAGATAAAGAATTCAGGGAAGGGATGGAATTCCTATCGAGATCATCAGGAGTGGGAAGGACATTATAGCCCCATGCATTTATCTGCAATAACACTCTGCTGGCGTGAGAATAAGGTTCCACAAGACTTCAAAGATTTAAGCATCATAACTATGTTCAAGATCAAGGGTGATCGGAGTGACTGCAGTAACTATAGAGGAACATTACTGTAGTGTACTGCTGGAAAAGTACTTGCAAGAATTGTTGTGGGAAGACTCCAGATCCTAAGAGACCAGGTTTACCCAGACTTAGTGTGATTTTTGTGGGAACCAGTCTACCATTGATATATTTTCTTTACACAAGTTGCAGGAAAAAAAAAAGCAGTGAAAAAAAATCAACCACTGTATACTGCTTTTATTGATTGTACCAAGGCATTTAATTTGGTTAGTCAAAAGGTCTGTTCAGAGGATTGGGTGGCCACACCTACCATACTAAAAATTAATGAGTTGTTCCACACACAGGTATGAAAAGTACAATAAAATGTGGCTAACAGCTGATAAGTTTTTAATCAACAATTGAGTTAAACAGGGATGTGTACTTGCTCCTAACCTCTATAGAATACACTTCTTGCTTCTTCTGAAACATGCCTTTCAAGATCAGGAGGGTGGTTTGTTCATCAAGAGAACAGAAAGCTCACGAATAAATTAAAAAACTCTTGCCTATCAGGCTTGTTACCTCAGCACTCTGCTTTATGGCAGTGAAACTTGGTCAACTTATTGACACCAAGAGAAATGGCTTTTACATGCCACTACTAAGAAAAATACTTGGCATTAAATGGCAGAAAACATCAAAGATACTGAGGTATTTAAAAAGCTGGTATTTGTGATGAAACAACCTCAGTGTTTTCAGAAGTTACTATGTTTAATAATTTCTTCAACAGAGAGACAAAGAATTATATTTACTATGAACTAAGCCCAAATAGTACTTAAATCATGTGGGATTAAAATTGTTTCCAGTCCTTAGCTCAGACAAAGCAACCAGGCTTTGTTCAATAACAATACCTTATCTAGCTAATCTTTCTATCTGGGGAAAGCCGGCCACAGAGAGTCATAAAAATTACATAACAATCCAGACTGGGCCCTTTGAACAGGGCAGATCAGGGAAATTAACTTAATAAAGAGAAGTGGAGAAAAGTCACAGCAAGGTTCAGAGGTTTGATCTTGCATTACCACTAGTTATGCTCTTTGTTCGTATATCATCATTATTATAACATCACTCTAATTTCAGGTGCTCAGGAGGAGCACCTCATTACCACCATACCATCACGTTTAATCAAAAGGGAAATCATCTGCCCTGTCTAACCATTCATCACTTAACGTAATCTAGACATCTAAAACCCCTTTCCTTCTCCTGTGGGTATCAAGTGCAGCTGTTGTGTATTTACATGACGAGCCAAATATGGCTGTTTTCTTCAATATCCAAAGCTTTGTCTGAGATCAACATAGCTCTGATATTAGTCCAGTTTCTCTGGTGGAGGTGAAGTGTTGAGAGGAAAACTCCTACTCCTCACAAAATCATCTATCCACTTTGGGACCCGCAACAGTATTTCAAAAATTTTTTTCAATGTGGGATGGTCTCCATTGTATAGCTAGCTACCTTACACCTTCATCTCGATTATAAAGATCATCATCCAAACTGCCAAAAAACTATACATGATTTACATAAATGAGAGACACAACACAGTATCCTAAAAGAAAGAGAACAGACTCCCGCAGAAAAGCGCATAGAGATGTAACCAAAAAAAAAATCCCTGAAACAGATGCACATGGGTATTCATGGACTGCTTAGCAAAGGAACGTGGGGGAGGAATCCATATTAGGTGGACCATAGGTGGCATTAAAGAGTGCAGTCTTCCTCCAGGAAAACTGCCTGGTCCAGACTTCAGGTTACCATGTAATAGTCAGGGGCCTCAATATAACTGAGTCACAAGTGGTTATACTGACAGATGCTTGCTCATTGTTGCAATACAAAGCCAAAAGAAACTACAGTTCAACAAGATTAGATTTCTGCTGAATCAACAGGTGAGCCGAGTAAGCAGACTGTTCTCTAGTAGATCCTGGCCAATGCAACATTATGGGAAATGGGACAGCAGATGCTGCAAGGCATTCCTGGAGTAGAGAAAAGGAGGAGAAGGAAGAGTAGATGTATAATGCATTTATAAAGAGGAAAATACCCAGATAAAGGCAGCCAATAATAGCTGTTGGAACCTCCCACCCAGAACACAATACTAAGGACCCAGTTAACCTTCTCAAATGTGAGCAACAGACAGTAGAATTAAGACTACAAACTGGATACAACAGACCTCACAGTGTGTAAAGAGGAAGTTAAAGATACAGGACTGTGAACTTTGTGTGGAAAGGTACCCAAGTACACATACTACAGACATGTTCTCTGAAAGAAGTAGGGAGATCCAATTAGCCAATCTAAAATGTGGTGGACACCAAGTTGTAAGGATTATCAGAGAACATGCATCTACCTATAGCTATCATAGGGGCTTGTGATCTGAAAATGACTGGCAGGGAGAACAAAAAGAAAAAAGGAAAAGATGGAACTTTCAGTTACTGCTACAAACAACTTTACTTGCCACTGAAGAGGCAAAAAGGAACTCGAAACACCTATTGTAACAGATGGGACACATTTTTCTACCATTCCAAAAGGGAACTCATAATAGTGGCTTCTGGAAATAACACTCCTGTCTTAAGTGAAATTGCTCTCATATGCTTTTTCCTAGAGAATGACTAGTGACAGCATTGAAATGCTTAACATATTTCTTTACATTTATCATGCCAATTTAATGACGAGTGCGTGAGAGTAATTAATTATTTGCATTTCCTGTAACTTATAAGCAACAGTGTTTGTCTGTACAATAGAAATACACCTACACTGGGTGTTATAAAACATATTATGAGTAACATGATGCAAATAAATTGTACCCCACATAAGTTGCACATGAAAACATTAATTGAGGTGGTACATTCAAATCTGATTAAAACAGTGAATGCTAACTGAAAAATTTGCAACAAACAAAATGAGGCACAAGGAAGTACTTAAGAGATGTGAAATAAAGATGGATTTGTGAAACATAAAGATGTAACTACCACTGTGCATATCTATAACTTGGCAAAGCTGAAGAACATGATAATCTTGGTATTCTTTATCCATAAGGTGATGGTGGTCGTGGCAGCATGGTGATGATCACAGATTATGTTTCCCACTGCTGTTCATCATATATTCTATCGAAGCAGTCATTCATGAAATTAAACTGCAATTGAAAAAAAAAAAACCAGAGGCAAATTTATAACTAAATAATCAATGTGTACTCTATGAATTTCAGAAACAAATCACAAAGATACATAACAATATGTGAGAAATGCAATTAAAAAAAAAAAATCAACATATCTAAGTAAGAAATTTTAAAGATCGCCAATCACTCAACATTAATTTTAATAGCTCAAATGTTAAGGTACATTTTATGTTCTCTGGCCCAGAGAGAGAGAGAGACTTCCCTTGCCATTCATAAATCGCTGTGTCACAGGGCTCGTCCTATGTTGTAGAGGTGTCACGCTTAGTGACAGGCTACCAACATGTACTATTTTAGATGCTGGTAACAAAGTCCCACCCAAAAAGAGAGTGACTTCCCTTGCCATTCATGGCTCATAGTGTGGCAGGTCCTGTCCTATGTTGCTGGGGTGTCAGGCTTAGTGACTGGCCAGCAATGCGACAAATTTTACAAATTGTTATAAGCAGTCGGCAATATTGCGTCTTCTATTTCCCAAGATGTGGGCGCTTTCAATGGTCCCAAAACACGTAGAATTGGCTCTAAACCCAACCTCCCCTATGCCACATCCTCAGCCCCACAGGAGAGTGCAGCCTACATCCCATGACTGCATGCAGCCTATGACAACAACAGGTAAAATATGTTGTGTTGCTGGACACTCACTAAGCTTGACAGCCCTGCAACACAGGACAGACCCTGTGACACTACGAGCTATGAATGGCACGGAAAGTCACTCTTTTTCTGGGCCCGACTTTGTTACTATAACCCCATTTTACTAGGTGCTGTCACCAGCTGGTGATATCGCCTGTTGTATATTCCAGGATGTCAGTACTTTTTACGGTCCCAAAACATGCAGAACTGGCCTGGCCCTCCCCCTCCCCCCCCCCATTTTTTTTTAACGTCCCACAAGAGAGGGAAACCTACATACCATGACTGCATGCGCCCTAGGTCGCAGGACTGTATGCAGTATATATATTAGGCTACATGCAGTAGTTGGATGTAGGCTGCACTCTCTCGTGGGACAAAGGGGAGTTGGGGTTAGGGCCAGTTCTGCATGTTATGGGACTGGTGACAAAGCGTGACACCTCTGCAACACAGGACAAGCCCTGTGACACAGCGATTCATAAATGGCAATGGAAGTCACTCTTTCTGAAGCAGAAAACGTAAAATGTACCAATGTTTAAAAAAACCCAACAACTTAACCAAAAAAAATAGTTGTTAAGTATGTTGACCCAATTAACCTTCTCAAATGTGAGCAACAGACAGTAGAATTAAGACTGCAAACTGGATACAACATTCCACAGTGTGTGAAGAGGAAGTTAAAGATGGAGGACTGTGAACTTTGTGTGGTGGAAAGGCACCCCAGAACACGTATTGCAAACACACTCTGAAAAGCATTCAAAATGCTAGCAGCAGTGGAAAAATTAGAGGCATGTATAAGGGGATAAAGAAGGTCACTGGCCCAACTATTCAAAAAAGTACACCACTAAAGAGTCTGAATGGGGAGTTATTACTGACAAAAAGGAGCAGCTAGATAGATGGGAAACTTGACAGGAAATAAACGATGCCTGTTACCAGAAGGCTAATCCAATGATTTATAATCTCTTTCCACTGCTCAAACATCAAGTTCCAGCTCTAAAACAAAGGTGTATATTTAAACAAAAATTTCATATCAAAACAGATACTTATGTCTAAGATCTATCACTGTGACTTAGCCATCAGTGAGACAGATTGAGAAATGATGATATCAGAGGAATAGTAGGAGCAATGTTAATGCAGTAAAGAGAAACAGAAAATATGGTTGTTCATCATCAAATAAGATCTGCAAAATCATCCCTGTGGATCTACTGTATTAGAATAGGTTACAAAACACAAGCAAGACAGATGCAGAGGATTCAACATCTTACAACTCCACAGTTCACAATAGTCAGTGCAACCTACCTGACATCAGAATAATATGCAAGATGAGTTAAAGATGGATGTAACTCATCCTTTCATATAAGGAAAGAGGAGGAAGGGGGTGGGGGGGGGGGGGGGGGGGGTCGTCAATAAGAAGAGTTTAGCAATTTAGACTAAGAAATTACTGGATTTAAATTACTAACATAGGGTTAGTTATTTTAATCATGGTTTTTGAATGATACTACACATCTTCTAACATACTGAGATCTGACATCTAGACTTCTTGCATAAGGGGAAACAAGAATTTAGATTACCAGATTACAAACTGGTAGGCAAGTGTGCAAGTTGTTTAACAGATCCTGCAGACAGTGCACCTTAAAGCTGCTGCTACTGTGGTCCAAAGAGCCTTCGTAAGACTGTTCTCAAAAGTTTTTCATAAGACTTAATATTTTTGGCTGTACTCCAAATTTCAGAGCCTTACAGGATAACTGGCCTTTTCAGTGTTACATAACTCATCCATTATTGGATTACAAACCTGCTCTAATAAAATTAATTTTAAAAAAAACATTTCAAGCAGAAGTAATAGCTAATATCAGTTATGGTTTGTAAAAAAAAATGTTAAAAATCTTGAGATATTTAACGCTGCAGGTCGAGTTATTTAGTCCTTACTGAATGCATTAACCCTCTTGCTCTCAGAAGCATAAAACCCAGTGCTTTCGATTTGTGCCACGAACCCATAAAAGCCCTAGGCTTTGTTAGTTAGTTAGTTGAGTTATCATCATTGCACTCCGGACATGTCCATAGGTGCTCAGATCCTCCCCTCAGTATGAACCCCAACGTCCGACGTTCTATGTTGATTAACAAGTCTTCTGACGTGTCCGGTGTGCGTCTCGTTTTTTGCTGTGCCGATCTTAATTCCCAAGTCTGCCATTCTGGCGAGTGATGTGGATTCACTGCCACCAAAGTCCTCTATCCTTCCCATTTCTCTGAGGGCATTGATAATATCAGCATGATCCATAGGCCGACAGTCGGTAGTGATAGCGGATCCAGCCAACCTGTCAGCTCTTTCATTTCCATCGACGCCTGCGTGTCGCGGAACAAAAATAAAGGTGACTCCACGCACAGTGGACTTCTAAATTGATTCAAGCCATTGTCTTCGCACTGAACCTGCCTGAACCCTCCGGATCATACTCATTGAATCACTGAGTATACACACGCGGGTGTATTTTTGTGTTTCAAGCCAGGCAAGCGCTTGCGTCACTGCCATCACCTCCATCGTCATGCTGCTGGTTGTCATGGAGAAGGCGCCGTTGGCTTCTTTGACTGTTCTGCCCGCTGAGCGTGCTGTAAATGCCCATGCGCTTCTTCTTTGGCATATAACGGATCCGTCTGTATGGATTAGTGCATCTGCTTCGTCTGAATTTTCATCGATGAGAGCGTTGACCTCTGCATTAACAGCAACAGGATTCTCTTCTCTACATCGCCTGTTGAGTGTGACAATACAGGAAAATGTACAAATAAACGCCTGAGGCACAGGTATCCATTCTGCCCCAGGTATGATGTCGGTTAGGCTGCATGTTTGCCTAATAACATCTTCTGCCCGACCTAGCCACGATTTCCCCCTCTTCAGTCTGTCGCCCTTTTCACTAAAAAGCGCTTGATGCAGTGGGTGTTCCTTATCAGCACATATTTTGAGGCTTGTTTACGAGGAGCCCTGCTAACAGTACTGCTTCCATTTTTTTCCTGGGTAACTTTTTAGAATGACTAGTAACGAGCAAAGTCGATTAAAAATGGCATTTAGGTAGGTTTCTTTTATAGAAATCAGGTTATCAGTGTGGTAACTGGTGGCAGTGTCACAGGGTCATGATCAGGTCATAATAAACATTTTCTTAAAGCTAAAAACATTTTCTTAAAAGCTCAGAGAGAGGTGACCCAGTTAATCCTCTGCCCTATTCATGTTTATTTATTACTCCTATTATTATTTACGTAATTAATTAATATTCCGGTCCATATATAGAAATGTTATGATTTTGTTTTGTGTGACCAGCGTTTAAAAAATTATTTTTACTGAAATATTTTGCAAGAGGCAAAAACATTCCAGAAACTTATGGCAGTTAATTAGTAGATGAACAAGTTTACCAGAAAAATTAACTTCAATGAATGGAACTACAAAACAATTCATGGGGGAAAAAAGTACTTACATATGGTGTAAATATTTTGACTAGTCGAGGCTTTTTCCCCTGTCGATTATATTCAAAATTGAAAGACATTCCCTCTTCATCAACTTGGTATGATTTGACATCTTTCCAGTTGAATTCAATAACCTGAGCCTGAAAGTAATAGATAGAATCATATTTTCATCAGAACACTAGAACAGTAAGGTTGCCAGGAGGATACTGATAACTTGGCCTACTGAGTTCCATTTGGTAAAGTAAACATAGGTGAACAATCATGTCAAAACTATGGCATACTTTTCAGTCTTGCAGTTAGATAACTTTAGAATCTTCAAGCTGGTAGATACATATCACCAACCTTTTCAAGGGGTTTTCAAGATGTTTCTGGCCTAAGTAATGAGACTAATTCCATAAAAATTAAAATAATTAACAGTTGAAGATATAACCTGTATCTGATTCAAAGTAAGCGCCTTGTGTACTGATACAGCAAGCAGCACGATCTAACAAACACTGGAATGACCTTTGTAGTTCTTCTGTTGTTAGGGCTCTTAAAGTCAATGTTACGGCCCTTTGGATGTCATCAATACTGTTAAAGAAGAGTCCTTTCAATCGTAACTTTGATTTTGAGTATAAAAAATAATTACAGGGAAACAAATCAGGGAAATAAGGTGGAAGGCTGAGAACACACACTTGTTTAGGGGCCAAAAATTCTTGTTTTAATTATGTCTCTTGGGTACTCAACCCGCTGATGTTTTTGGTCATCAGACAAAGAATGTGGTACAAACTGGCGAGCAACTTTTTTCTTGCCAATATCTTACACTAAAATGTTATGAATGGTCTCTTTATTAGGACCAGATTCATCTATCATCATCCGCACAGTAAAACAATGATCTTCTTGTATCCGTTCTCTGACTTTTGCAATGAGTTCATCATTAAAAACATAAATTTTGCGTCTAGGTCTAGGGGCATTAGTAATCATTTCCATACCACTTCTGAATCGTGAATACCACCTGAAAATGTGTGCACGAGATAAACAATTATTCCCATAAACTTGTTGCATCAATTCAACTGTTTCAATGGCATTTCTACTGAATTTTAAACAGAATTTAATGTTAGCTTTTTGCTCTGTGCTGATTATGTAACAATGCACCTCTGACTAGGTCAACAAAAGGGTGGTTTGTTTGTTGTCTGCTTATCGAGCGGCGATGAAAAGTTGCCAGATCATAGATGAATGTTGTCTCTTTAGATTCCATGCTTTGCTTCATAGATGGCATTTTTTTTTCTTTGCCATAATAAAATAAGTCTCATTACTTAATTGTCGGACCTTGTATATAAATACAGATACAGTATTTTATATCCCCCTTTTTTAAACTCCTGGTGGTAATGAGGAGCCAGTAGAAGAAATGATTATTACTAATATTACACCGTGATATCGAGAGAAACAAGAACTAACAACAATATTGACAATATAGTGAACACAGGAAAATGAAATAAAACTGAAAGAAATGATGGATATAACTGTAATGGAAAGTGAAAAAAGGGTCTTAGTCTGAACAGCAGAAAAAAATTATGGTAATTACAAAGAAAATTGATCCTCCCTAATGCAACATCAAAGTACATGGGGCAAACCTAAAGCAAATTGATTTATTAAAGTACTTGGGTACCCCAGTAACATCAGATGGAAGACGTTACCCTGAAAATTATGGAAGATGTATCAATAAAGCTAAATGTAGAATAGCTCAAGCAAAGGCAGTACACAACGTTATGAATATTTTATGCTATCTTTCTTTGTCAGTTGAGATAGAAAAGAGAATTCTTAAAAGCTATAAAAATCGTATATTGATATATGGAAGTGAATCACAGTTGGTCAATTAGTGAAAACTTATTTGGAAGCTGCAGAGATGTGGTTTTATAGATAAATGATGAGAATACTGTGGATAGACAAAAAGAGTAATGAAGATGTCTTAAAAGACACTGACTCACAAAGAGAATCAATTGCCTACATCAGAAATAGACGATCTACATTCTTTGGTCATGTGATGAAGAGGAGAAAACTTGAGTACATCATGTAAGTAGGAAAGGAAAGTTGGAGGGGAGCAGAGGCAGAGGAAGACCGAGAGAAAATATGCTGGACAGTTTAACATCATGGCATGGAGGATTATCTGTATCAGAGTTGATTGAATACACACGACAGAAGGTTGTGGATAGACATGACTACCAATGCCGCACGGCATGGACTTTGAGAAGAAGAAGATGTGCACACAAAAGAAACAAACACTGAAATACTGAGAGCTGTAGTCACCAAAACTACCAGGAAATGGCAAATGTCATCTGTCTTAAATTTGTAATTGGAGTTAAAAAGTAAAGAAGCTATGCACACAAAACATACCAAAGGGAGGTGAAAAATTTAACTAGGTAAGAGTGACATTGACATACAGAAAAAGATGTCTGGAAAAAGGTTATTGAGTAGGTAAACTCATCTTCATCAAAATACAGAATGACAGAGTCAGATGGAAGAGCCATTAAAGTCCCATCTGCTCTAGGCCTGGTAGTTGAGAGAGAGAGAGAGAGAGAGAGGGAGGGAGAGAGAGAGAGAGAGAGAGACAGAGAGACAGAGACCAATAAGTCATCAGAGAAAGCGAAGGACAGATAAATAGAGAAGGAGGGAAATGAAGGTAGCTAGAGTTAAAGAACAAGAGAGAGGGAGGGAGACAGAAGGGGAGGAGAGAGGGGCAGATAGAGAGAGATAGGAAGAGAGCGGGGATGGAGGAAAAAAGACAAGACAGAAATCAGAGGGAGGAGATAGACAGAGGGCAGTATAGAGAGGGAGGGAGAAACAAAAAGAGACAGTTGAGGGTGGAAAAGAAAGGGAGGAGAGGTCAAGGGGAATGGGAGAGAGGCAAACAAACAGAGGAATACAGAGGGTAGGGGCTGGGTGCAAACAGACAAAGAAAGAGGGAGAGAGGCAGAGATACAGAGAATAGGAGTATAAATGAGGCAGAGAAGGAGGAAGGCAGAGAGAGGCAAAGAGACACAGATATAAAGACTAAAGTGAAGAGACAGAAAAAAAAATACAGAGAAAGGGAAAGAGATAGATACACATAGAAAGATACACATATAGATACACAGAAGCACAGAGGAAGGCAGAGAGAAAGGGGGTAGTCAGAGAAATACAGATTGGGAGGGAGAGGGGGCAGAAAGAGACAGAGGGAATGAAGTGTTTCTGAATGCAGTTATACGAATTGTTGGAAGTGTCAAAAACTAGAACTTTGCCCAAGTAACGAACGTAAGATTGTTCTTGAGCAGTCTGCTGTGCCTAGACATCAAGCGACATCAAACTTCCGATTCACTGACCAATAAACGTTATTAGCAGTTCAGCGTTCTCAACGTCTGTGTCAAAAATTACTTAATGAATTACTTGTCAATGTGCCTTGAGATGACTACAATACACTCAGCTATTATGAGAAGTAGTGCACTGCAAGGTATGGGAATGTCCTGTGTCAATTCTGGATTTATTCATTCAAGTGAACTACTACAACTACATGAGTGCTCACGCATGCGCGCGCACTACGGCGACCTATCTGACAGCAAATACATCTTTATGCCCCCAACCACATGCACACAATCATAGGGTATTTCCCTGTGTACCATATTTCCCTGTGTACCAGACAAAAATATCCTATTTAATACTGTTTTCACTTTCTTTTCAGACAGAATGAAGAGACACTAAGATACTAATACAAGCAGAAATGTTTGTTAGCATGCTTGAACACCCTATCAAAGAACGATTCCAAAATCTAGCAATGGGGCGACTAAAAAGAAGCAGTTTCATCCACCAGGCCCAACAACCCTGCAGGCAAACCAATGATCTGCCTGCAGCTAGCTGATAGCCCCTTAAATGCTATTCCAGATCAGACTCATTGGAAAGAGGATTATAAGTTGTCAATACACATCCAGACAAAAGTGAAAGGAGCATACGACAAAGAAGAACAAAACAGTGTGCAATGTAAAACAGCCACCCTCGCTCTACTTGATGATGAATACCCACATAATCTTTGGGTTCGTATCTATAGGGATGGGTCAGCACAAAACGCCAGCAGAAATGGAGGAGCAGAAGTGTATACTGAGCATCCAAATAATACCAGATATATGGCCAAAATACCTACAGGAAAGCACTGTCACAATTATGATGCAGAAGTTCAAGCCGTCAAAATAGCAGCAGAGAAACTGTTAAATATATGTCATATTTCACAACCCCTGGTATTTTTGACAGATGTAAGAGCTTTAGGCAATCCAATCTGCAAAACTACCTGGTATACAAACATTACTCTCCAAACTAGGCAGCCGGTGTAAGGTAACTATGCAATTGATATCATCCCAATGTGGAGTTTCTGGAAATAAAAGAGCTGATAAACTAGCTAAGGAAGGTGCAAATGAAGAACAACCTGACGTACCAGCCTCTTATCAACAAAAGAAGAGAATAATCAAATCAATCAGAAAGCCACCAAAACTGGCACAAGACGATTACTATTTTATGGACAAGTTATTATTATACACCTTAGAACAGGACATAATCAACTTTGCAGCCACATGTAAACAAAATTTAAAATCGGTGAATCAGCCACGTGCACATGTGGACTGGCAGCTGAGACAACAGATCATGTCCTCCAAGACTGTCCCAAATACAACATACTAGGGCAGAACTTTTGGCCAAGAGAAACATCGGTGCAAGTCAGACTTAGGGGTCGCTGAGTAAATTACAAAAGACAGTGAAGTTCATACTAGAGACAACATTGCAGATATAGATAATCTATTTTAAACGAACAGAAGAAGAAAAGAAGAAGAAGAAGACTTTCTTTTCTGTGAGCTTTAGAGAAAAAAAATTGCGCCTTGAAAATGGTAGCCATAAAAACAGTGGTCCAAATTACGGATTTCAACCCAACACCCCCCCCCCCCCCCCATCTCGCCAGACTGGCTTTTTTGCGACACTGTTTGCTGTATGGAGTTGGCAAGGATAATACGTCTCGTTAGCCCTAAACATAGGTTACGATGAAGTGGATCGGATCACTTCCTTTTATCTGGCTCAGAGCCAAAGGGACAAGATGTCTAATGTTCAACAGGCGGTATCACTTTATAAAACAGCATGACCCTTGATATCAATTTATATCTGTCCAGATAGAGTGACAATGGGGGGGGGGGGGGGGGGGGGGGGTCAGCTGGTCATCTCTGCTCAGTCTACATCAGCGGAAGTCATAATTTGGCTCTTTTGGAAAATGCAGCTCTAGATATTACACACAGAGAAGTGGCCAGAGGTGTTACTGTCAGTCTCACAGAAGATAAAGCAGGGGAGACTTCCGGTCCACAGTGGAGGATTAAGCATGGCAAAATGTTCAGCTTCCAAGTTACTACTGCAGGTGAAGTTGAAACCTTGACTAAAACTATATATGGAACCTTTTCTAGTGTGCTCAAATGACAACAGACACCATAAATGCAATACCAGATAACAGACACGTTTCTCTGATCACTGTTTTACCCCATCTGAGGAAAGCACACATAGGTCTACACCAACCAATCTAACACCCTCGACTTCAGCCCCACCACATCCCGAACAGACGTCAGTGGGCAAATGTACATGTCAGATGGTCCCGATAGTGGCAGTGTCGCTTTCTTAGACAAGTCAGATTCATGATGGAAAGGTATGATGGCAGAATCGGAGTTTATAGATGAACAATATGCTCATAAATACATCCGTTAGGCTTTGAACTTTGGTGAAGGCAGCATCATCGCATTGGGAAGAATAACACAGAATGTTAAAACACAGCTGGAAACAATTCATAGGAAATATTACTGCGCAGCAGTACATACACAATGTCCTAACACTTTATGTTGTGCTATTTTCCCAAACTTATGGACACGATGTCACTTTTATGCAGGACAATACAGCTCCCCACTGAGCAGAAAAAATCATTGCATTTCTCTTGCAGAACAACATTCCATTAATGTTATTCGTCCAGGGAGCGATTTCACCTGACCCTAGCCCTACTGAGCACGTATGGAACATGCTTGACCGCCATATCCAAAACTGTTTACTAACTGTCCACAATTCACAGCCTTATGTTATAGTTGTATCTACATAAGATGCAAAAATACTTTTGAAAACTTTCAAACAGAGATTTGCATAAGGACTGTCCATTAAAAAAAAAAATGGTACTTTTGCATGTCATTATTCTATTTTCTACCTCTGTGATACAACTTTTATTGATGTTATCGTGTACCCAGATAATTAATTTTCTGTGCTTGTCAAAATTTACTACCACTGATTCTTAATCATGCTGAACTCACCTCTGGAGTACCATCTTCCTTACATGCTTGAAGCTTGAATGCTTCGATGCCAATTATTGCCACAACATGCCCATCGCGCCTTGAGTCACATGCACAGTGTGGAAAAACAACTTCAGAAAAGCCCTCCAAATAGCGTACTGTTTTTAGATACTGAAACATTAATTTACAGCAGTTTTAAAAATGTATCATTATAATACTATAATTTATGAATTACAGTAAAACCCTGAAGCCACTTAAATATCTAGAAAAATAAATTAAGAAGTAATGAATGGCATTTAAAGTGAGGAAAGGATAGAGTAGTGATTAGAAAACACACTTGACAATATAAGAATTATCTCGCTGTTGGCTCAATGTGAATAACAGATCTGGCTAATTATGACAATTTAAAAAGTTATCTAGTTTACTATGCACTGAAGTATGTTTGTTCCTTCAGTAAATAAAACACTGTCATCATTTTAAAGTGCCAAGTGTTGACATTCAGGTGTGCCTATCTTTCCATTTGTCTACTAAGTGAATCCTCTAATCTTTAATGTCCTTTTCTCAATTTGAGTGTCAATCATTATTTTTGAATGTATTTCTCATACATTGTATCAGTCTAATACAATTACAACTATGCATCATTAGAGACAAATAATACAAAAAGTAATCAGACCATTGTTATTACCTCAGTAAAGAATACTGAACAAAATCATCCAAAAGAATGAGGGACAGATCAGAAAGAATCTAAAAGATTGAAACATGTCCCCATACCTTGTAGCCAAATAGTTTTAAATACAACTTACACTAGATGGGTGATAAAATCAATATCATGCAAATGACTTTACTGCCCAGAACATTTGTCAATTTCCAGTTTGGGCTGAGTTGACCACTGAATCCAGATCCATTTTTTAAAAACAATATGTGCTTTAATGGAGATATGGTCACAGCAGGTCACTGTGCTGCTGCAACTTCCCCTAAAAGACAGGTTATGCCAATTTGTATTTATCATCCTTATTGCACCTGAATGTCCATTTTTATCAAACACAGAGAGCCTGGGATTTGCTTTTTAAACTGGTCTCAGCTCCCAGGTTAACTCCGCCTTAAATTAATATCAGAAAATGCCCAGGAGAAAGTAAAGAGGGTCAGCATGATATTAACTACATGCATCAGTCATGGATGAGGCTTTAACAATATAGTCACTAGAATGTATAGCATTACTTCTCTGAATCTGCCTCTTTATTTTCTACCACTGATATTTTCAGGAGTTAAGATGCTCTTCAATGCTCATCTTCTTATTATATGACTGAAAAACTCTGACTGCCCATTTCTTATTGCTGAAAATAATGTTTTACTATCAGACTTTTCATGCAAACATTATCATTATCAGGTACATTGGGCATCCAAGATATTTACACAATTCAAGTTAAAAACAACACTGGTACTGCCTTCAAGCCATTTTTAATTTAAAGTTTTATACCAGATGAATAAACATTCATGCTAAATTGTCAAATTACTGATAAATAATTTGAATGATACCAAAAATTATATTACTCAGTAGCTGTGAAAATATACAACTAATATTTTATGAGGAATTTTATGAGGAACATCCACATATAATAAATTCCACCATGTCAGTGCAAACAATACCTGCATCTTCTTCTTCTTCTTCTTCTTCTCTTCCACCTTGTACCTCATCGAAGTGTCGGGGGGAGATGTAATGTTCGTTGATGAGCTCTGTCAAGAGCACTATTAAGACTGATGTTCATTTCTGTAAGGCTGTTCTTAATGCCATCACTCCATCTTTTCCGAGGTCTTCCACTCGCTTTATACCCGTTGTAACGTTTTAGTGTGGCTCGCTGTGGCAGATAGTACCAGGGCATTCTTGTTAGGTGTCCAAACCATTTCATTTGTTGTTCTTTGATGACCTGTAAGACTGGCTTTATTCCTAGCATTCGTCTGATTTCATGATTTTGTATTCTGTCTTTCCTTGAAACTCCTGCAGCTCTTCTAAGGCATTTCATCTCTGTTGTCACAATTTTACGTTCATTGGAGGATGTAAGTGTCCACGTTTGGCACTGATAGCATAGTATTGGCCAAAAAATAGTTCTGATAAGATTCACTTTAGTACTCTGAGGTATCTGCTTGTGTGTCAACAGGGGAGATAGTTGGCCCATTACTTGATTAGCTTTGGCACATCTGGAGCTAATTTCTCTGTCCAGTTTTCCGTCTGAAGTAAAAATTGCTCCCAAATACTTAAATTCCTCTGTTTGTCTCAGGGTGTTGTTTTTTAATTTAATTTCTAAATTGTCTTTATGTCTTCCTATCATCATTGTCTCTGTCTTCGTAGTGTTTATTTTCATATTATATTCCTCCCCTTTGTTACTAATTTGATTTAGGTGGTTCTGTAGGCATTCCATATTTTCTGCTATTAGTACCTGGTCGTCGGCGAAAAGTAATTCTGTTATATCTTCTTCCTGATTAAAGTCTGTTTCGCTACATATGGCGTCCATGTATGTTATGAAAAGAAGCGGCGATAGTACACAGCCCTGACGCACACCAGAGTTCACTATAAAAGTTCTAGACAACCCTGCCTTTGATCTTATGCAGCATTCACTACGTGTGTACAGGCTTTTGCAAATATTAATGAGATGATTGCTGATTCCTTTTTTCCCCATACATTCCCACAACATATTCCTGTCGACTCTATCGAAGGCTTTTTCTTGGTCTATGAATGTCAACAAACATGTCTTATCATGTTCTATTGCCCTCTCTGATAGTTGTCTCAATGTATAAATGGCATCTGTGCAACTTCTGTTTCGTCGAAAGCCCATCTGTGCTTCTGAAAGTTGATACTCTATCAATGGTCTCAGCCTTTTTTCGATGATCTTAGCATACATTTTCCCAGTGTGACTGAGAAGTGATATTCCTCTGTAATTAGTACATTCCCTCTTACTTCCTTTATTTTTCCACAGCGGGACAATGACAGCAGTTTGCCAATCTGATGGTGTTTCTTGATTTTCCCATGCCACCTGAAATATTCTCTTTAACCATATTGCTCCCGTTTCTCCTGCTGCCTTGATGGCCTCAGCTGGTATACCTGCATCATTACCCACAAAGAGAAAAAGATGGAGAAATGAAGAGAAAAGAAAAAAAGGGGAAAGAAAACTTATTTCACTATACTGCTTTCATAGTCCTTCGTCGACCTGATCTGATGTATTTAATACTGGTTTAATAAACAAAAATGACAACAAAAAAGTCATAAAACTGCAAAATTCAAACAGAAAGAGGTCTGCACTGAGTTAGTACATAACAAAGTTTTCACCCTGCATATCTAATCCTATCTTGCCAAGATGGCTTGTAAACGTTCGCCGAAAATTATGACAAAAGGATGAATGTATTCTTGGAATGTATGTTAAATGTGTTGTCTTAGTGTAGGCATTTAGTTAAAGATGAATTCGTAACAGGCCCGGCAAGTCGGCGGGGGTTTCAGTGGTTCAAAAAGAAATATCCAAGATGAAAATAGGGGATGTTTTAGAAATTAGGAAAACAGAGGCCAGCTGAAGGTTAAGAACAGGGAAGGGACAATCAATATATGTGGATGGGGCAATAAAGCAAAACAAGTGACACCTAACAAGAATGCCCTGGTACCATCTGCCACAGCAAGCCACACTAAAACTTTATAACGGATATAGAGCGAGTGGAAGACCTAGGAAAATATGGAGTGATGGCATTAAGAACAGCCTTACAGAAATTAACATCAGTCTTAATAGTGCTCTTGACAGAGTTCATCAACGAATGTTACATCTCCACTCGACACTTCTCTGAGGTACAAGATGGAAGAGAAGAAGAAGATATCTAATCCTGGGAAGTGTCATGCTTCAAGTTTGGGGTGTTCAGAAACCAAAATTCTGTTTAAAAATGTAGGCATTTTATCTCCTGGATAATATGTTCTGAAACTTCTCTGTTTAAAAAGAAAAAGTAAGATTCCACCATATACATAAATATAAAGATTAAAGTTTGTTTTGCCATATCTTGCCATTTAAAAAAAATTAAATGTTTATGTTATCTATGCATGTTTAGTGTCTAAATAATTATAGAAAAATATTATTTTTAAATGAAAAATATAAAAACATTTTTATGCTACACAAATGATGGTGATAAAAGTTATTTTACACATAAAGCTGTATGGTAAATTTTAAAATGAAACACACAAACACTTCACTGTTTTATTTTTTCATTTAGATTATTCTTTTTTCTGATTTCCACCAAATCTTTTTGCTTGATTAAAACATTTTTTTTTTTAAACAGCTTCAAAAATATTCAGCGCAATCTCTATCCACATAATTTAATTTCTCACATTATGACACTGAAGAGAACCCAATAAAACCCCTTTTCCACCTCTAAACTCAAGACAATACAGGGTTATAATTTAAACTATTGTGAAATTATCATGCTAAAATATGTAAATTGATCTCATAAATAAACAGATCCATGAGTAAAAAACTAAACTGTGAACAAGTCATAAATGAATTTATGATTTTGTGTTCTTCAGACAGCTCAGCTGTAACACAAATCAAAGAGTAATGGAAACTATGTAATCTTAAAAAGATTACTCAACCAGACCTAATGTATGTGCTTACCTCCAAAGCGTTTTCTGCTTCCCTCAGTGCTTTGAGTTCATAAAGCTTATCCCCTGTTTTAACAATTCCTTTATTCACATCATCAACAGCCTGTTTGTGTGTGTGTAAAAAAAAACACACAAGAAAACTGTTCATACATTATCTTTAAAGGTAACAGATATCTAGTCAACTACAGTCTTCTACTTGGTCAACTCTCAAGTAATGCACAGGTTTACCAGCAAAATAGACAAGTGCATTCTTTAGTTTATAAGCAATGTGCCTCATCACATATTACTTTGCAGTTATATTTTACCTCTCACACTTCTCTCCTAGCCGGGCCAGATCCACTCCTAATTCCAGGTTCATACATTCATTTTATTTAATCTCATGTCTTCTATTAGCTCTCATGCATAAATGGTCTTTTAAATATATCTCCTTTGTCAAGTATAAGTGTTTCTGTAGCTATGGCTTTTGTAACCAACAAATTTGCTTTTTTATTCTCTAGCCCGCTTCATGCCTCAGACAGTATATCCATATGTCCCTGTAATGCTGACCTGTTGATTTTGGTATCTACTCATGCCACATTTTGAACCTTCCTAAAGACATGTTGCCACTTTAGTGGTTTCTGAAACCATCACGTCTGAATGGATCACCACTTAAGTTGTGCCATGCACAAACACTCTAATACTGTTTCGTTTGCCAGGAAAATGAATTTGTATGAATATGTTTTGAAAAACTAGAATTAGAAAAAAGAAGTATTATTGTTTTCCGAGCATGGTGAGCAAATAGGTTTAATTTTCAATTTGTTTTTAATTAATTCAGTGTGATACAATTTGTATGTGATTTTCTAAACCAAATGACGAGGGAAAAGGTCTAGAACTGTCCATACTGCTGCTGTCATTGATGAATCCAAGCCAGATAGTGACAACAGTCTTGATATTATGTTTAATAATGCAAGTGCCATTCAGCGTCTGTGGCTAGGGCGTTGAGAACATACTTCGTAATGCCAGGGTGCCAGGTTTGAGCTTTTGAACGTAAAATATGCGGAGTAAAATCACAGAAATAAAAAAATGCTGGGGGTTGGTTTTGCAACGTCCTGTAAAGGATACACAACAACTAACTTAATGCAAGTGCCAAACCTATTGCCAATAATATAGATCAGGATGAAGTTGAACAAAATATTTCAATTGGATTATCCGCTTCGATCAGCTATGGCCAGAATCTGATTGTTTTGGAATTTGACATGTCACTAAAAATGGTCTGAGATTAATTGTTTCAAGTAAAGACTAGCTGATGCCTAATTTCATAGAAAGGGCATGTAGAAATGGATATTAGTGTTGCTGATCAAGTAAAAATATTTTTACAAATGTTTTTAAACATTTTAGTGTGTTGAAAATGTGTGTTTAACATCCTTAAATGTTGTGTCATTAAATATTTTGTTGTTTTAATACAGAGAGTGTCTCTGTACAGCTAAAAATGTAATGCTGTCCAAACCCCAGAAACAAATGTCGCCCTGAAAGAGTTAATACCAACTGAGAATCAGGCTCTATAATTCCTCTGGTAACTCTATTTACAGCTAACCACTTCAAAGCTGCAGAAAAACTTCCATCTCCTTATAGAGGATTTGAATGTTGTCCCCAGCAAATACTGTATATAATTATTATAAAATTTCAACTATAGTGTGTATATGATAATTTTGTGCACAAACATTTTCGGAGGACAACTAAATAGTCACTGATAACTTGTGGACAGGACCTGTATATACTGATCTCTTTGTTCCTGTGACTGATCAAACCATAATACTCAGATCACCAAATACTGTTGTGAAATACAACTCAACCTGATCACAAAACATGACTGCTGTAACTCCATAATAGTGGAGGTATCACAATGTCCCATACCTTCAGATGCTATTTTTAGTAAATGTAATCATATTCAGTCTATCTAAACACTATGCTTCTGGGGGTTGACGAAATCAATGAAACCAAAATGGTGGCAAAAAAGATGTTTCAGATTTTATGGCCTAGCACCATGATGGCAAGGGAACATTTTACCTACATTTTTTTTTCTTTACCTATATTTACATGGGGGTGAGTAGAGGTTCTGAAAGATATTTAACATTGAGGAGGAAACACAGACAGACATGTGTGGAAATGTCAGGAGTGTAGTGATGACAATTGTTGATTCATTCATGGGAGGAGGATATAAAACACAGACAGACATGTGTGGAAATGTCAGGAGTGTAGTGATGTCAATTGTTGATTCATTCATGGGGGAAGGATTTAAAACACAGTGTGGAAATGTCAGGAGTGTAGTGATGTCAATTATTGATTCATTCATGGGAGGAGGGTATAAAACACAGACAGACATGTGTGGAAATGTCCCAAGTGTAGTGATGTCAACTGTTGATTCATTCATGGGGGGAGGATATAAAACACAGACAGACATGTGTGGAAATGGCAGGAGGGTAGTGATGTCAATTGTTGATTCATGCATGGGGGGAGGATATAAAACACAGACAGACATGTGTGGAAATGCCAGGAGTGTAGTGATGTCAATTGTTGATTCATTCATGGGGGGAGGATATAAAACACAGACAGTGTGGAAATGTCAGGAGTGTAGTGATGTCAATTGTTGATTCATTCATTGGGGGAGGATATAAAACACAGACATATGTGGAAATGCCAGGAGTGTAGTGATGTCAATTGTTGATTCATTCATGGGGGGAGGATATAAAACACAGACAGACATGTGTGGAAATGCCAGGAGTGTAGTGATGTCAATTGTTAATTCATGCATGGGGGGAGGATATAAAACACAGACAGACATGTGTGGAAAGGACAGGAGTGTAGTGATGTCAATTGTTGATTCATTCATGGGGGGGGGGGGGGGGGGGGGATATAAAACACAGACAGACATGTGTGGAAATGATAGGAGTGTAGTGATGTCAATTGTTGATTCATGCATGGGGGGAGGATATAAAACACAGACAGACATGTGTGGAAATGCCATGAGTGTAGTGATGTCAATTGTTGATTCATTCATAGGGGGAGGATATAAAACACAGACAGACATGTGTGGAAATGCCATGAGTGTAGTGATGTCAATTGTTGATTCATTCATTAGGGGGAGGATATAAAACACAGACATGTGTGGAAATGCCATGAGTGTAGTGATGTCAATTGTTGATTCATTCATGGGGGGAGGATATAAAACACAGACAGACATGTGTGGAAATGCCAGGAGTGTAGTGATGTCAATTGTTGATTCATGCATGGGGGGAGGATATAAAACACAGACAGACATGTGTGGAAAGGACAGGAGTGTAGTGATGTCAATTGTTGATTCATTCATGGGGGGGGGGGGGGGGGGAGAGGATATAAAACACAGACAGACATGTGTGGAAATGATAGGAGTGTAGTGATGTTAATTGTTGATTCATGCATGGGGGGAGGATATAAAACACAGACAGACATGTGTGGAAATGCCAGGAGTGTAGTGATGTCAATTGTTGATTCATTCATGGGGGGAGGATATAAAACACAGACATATGTGGAAATGCCAGGAGTGTAGTGATGTCAATTGTTGATTCATTCATGGGGGGGGGGAGGATATAAAACACAGAAATTTCTGTAGGCAGTAAAGAAATACAAACCTGCCAAAATAAATATTTCAAGGCAGCAGCGTTTGAGGTGAGCATCATTTCCCGTGAAATGGTGAATAGCCATTTTTTTAGCAGGATGCAGGTAGCAGTGGCAGTGCTGTAATTCTGGATGTAAATGTTGTGAGGAAGTTCTTGCGGCAACAACTTGCGCTCTGGTTAGTATCAATATATATCAATATACTGTTTATACAATTGAACTATTTATGAAACTGAAAAGAAGGGGAATAAAATTATGCAAATAATTTTACAAGTGATGAAAAGACAAACACAAGACAGACACTGTTGTCAGCATCATGTGACAGGTCATTAAATGTGGGCATGATTTACTATCCATCATACATGGTCACCAGTCTAAAATAATTTCTTGTCTTGAAATGCTATTTCTATGTGTCAAACATTCTTTGTCCTTCTCTTTTCCCATGAAGTTTCCCAGTTATCATTAAGCATTCAAGCTTATTTATTTTCAAAATATGACCAAACTATCTTGATTCTTAACATTTAATTTTTCTAAACAGATTATGATTTTTATTTGCTTCTTAAAGAACTGCCTCAGTTGATCTAATAAATATTCCACATAAATCCCATGTCTATCGGATATTTCTTATGTTATCTGTTTACGATCCAGGATTTACATACTTATATCAGTCAAGGTTCTCCATAGCACTTTAAAACTCCATTTGGTAATTTTTTTAAAATTTATATATTTTATACCTTGAAAAGGTTATTGTTTCCGTGAACAATCTCAACAAGACATTTTTAATCAATGTTATCATGTTCGAAGATAGTCGAAATGATTCACTTTTTAAACACTCCCCCTACCACCACCCTTTTCTCCTTTTTTTTTTTCAATTCATTTATTTGGATGTTGGGTTGTGACATGCCATAATAGTGTGAAATAATAAGCTAGCTGGAGAAACCAACTCAATCCCCTTTCTGTTCACATGACTGGGTGTTAGGCTGGTCTGGACAACTGTTCTTAACCCATTAATTATTGCTTCATTATAGCAATATTAGACATTTCTTAACCATACATGGAAAAGTGTGAATGTGAAGTTGGGAAAATAGAGTTAGCTTTCCCTTTTAATGACTTCTACTTCCTTTTCAAATAAAGACAAATGGTGAGCCAGTCGGATTTCTGTCAGTTCACAGGATTCAGTATACCCTAGTAAGTAGTCACAATTGAAGTCACCATTGTGTGTTTAAAATCACTACCAGAGTTTCAGGTGAAGTCCCAGTGTAGTACAGGTGTCAGATTGCCTAGACTGGCCTTGAAGATTCAACCTGCCCTGAAGTGTCTCTGAGGCTGACCCAGTGAGCACGAACTATAGATGAGTGGACATATGGGTCCACTTTGTTAATCCGGAACCATCATTATCTCCCCAGTCCCACGATTAATTTTACTCCAAATTAAATGTCATATCTGTTAACGTTTCTTCCAGTTAAGTGAAGTTCATTTTAACGACAATCATTTGAATGTCAGTGAGCAATAGCTACTATAATTTAACTATATACATATGAATATACCATATTTATAACAGTAGGGAATCAGATGTGGACAAACTCCCGAATCCTCTTCTTTATCCAACAAGGTGATGACAGAATTTGGGTCACAAAGAAGTAGCCTACTGAATGGACACAATTGTTGGTGATACCACTGCCGAAGAAAGGAAATCTGAAAAGCTGCAACGATTATAGAACTATTAGTTTTATCACCCACGCAAGCAAAATAATGCTAAAGAAACTGCTTAACAGACTGAAAGCAAAATCTGAGGAAATTCAAGAGCAGGCGGGTTTCCAGAAAAACAGAAGCACCACAGAACAAATTTTCAACATATGAACGATGATAGAAAAACATCTACAACATCAACGCGACCTATTCCACAACATCATCGACTTCACGAAGGCATCTATCTGACCGTGTGTGGCACTCTGGGCTATGGCAAATAATGAGAAATTTCAACTTCGATAAGAACATCTTAGACACCATTGAAAAACTTAATAAAGATGCAAGTAGTGCATTACTCATTCAAAATGACAGGCAAATTTTTCAAGACCAATGTGGGAGTGAGACAAGGTTGCATTCTATACCCTGTCCTTTTCAATTTGTATTTGGAACACAGAATGAGAGAAACACTAGAAAATCATGAAACATCTGTATCCATTGGTGAAGGACAACTGTGTAATTTACGTTTTGCAGACATAGATCTATCTCATGGCTGGTTCCAAAGCAGAATTCCAATAACTTACTATAAAATTAGAGTCTTTGGTAAATAGGGCATGGAAAAAAATGCTGAGAAAAGCAAGATTCTGGTAAATAGTCACAATAACCAAGTACCCACCAACATACAGATAAAAGAGAAAAAACCAGAAGAAGCTGAAACCTTTAAATGTCATGGCTCCCACACATGCAACGATGGCAGCTGTACCAAAGAGATCAAGACAAGACTTGATATGACAACAGCCGCAATGTTGCAGCCTAATATAATGTGGAAGAGCAAAATCAGCATCGCAATCAAGGTAAATATTTACAAATTACTGGTGCGTTCTATTTTCTTATACGGGTGTGAGAGTTAGACTCTCACTGTTGAAATGAAAAGGAGGATTTAGGCTTTCAAATATAAATGCTACAGACCCTTTTTTGAATTAGTTATTTAGAACCCAAAACTAATAAATATGTCAGAGACAAAATATAAAAATTTGCAGGGACATCAGGAGCCTCCCTTGGCAGTGGTGAAGCGTCGCAAGCTAGCTTGGTTTTGGCACGTGGTGAGACAAGATTCGACTGCAAAGAGTGTACTTCAAGGAACATTGGGGGGTAGTCGAAGAAGAGGTGGGCAAAGAAGAATCTAGAAGGACAACATCAAGAGATGGACAGGACTAAGTTATCATACACTTATTCATCTAGCAGAAGTCAGAGAAAGATCGTGGGTTTTATGTGATAGTGCTTCCATCAATACACCTCCACGACCCTAATAGGTTGAGGGTTATGTTATGTTATATTAAGGCTGGAAGACAGATCTGATCCTTTAGGATGTTTCACTGTTTAAGATTCCCTCTGTATACTTGTGAGGTCTCGTCTTCTGACTTACAATCTTAACTAGCTCCTTAGGCAACAGTATTGAAGTCAACCTCATAACAGCAGTATTTTCGATGTCAGTCTTTTGCTGTCTTATACAGAACATTGGAGGAATTATGTTATATTGCCTTCTGTAGACTGCACATAGAGCATTTACAATAACAAAGCGAATTTCATGCCATACTGGGTTAACCCCAGATATGTACTGGTCAAACAAAACAGATTATTTTAGTATCTGGGGACTAAACTACCGACATATGTACAGATGCTCCCTTCCTTCGTTGTAAATCCATCAGTGTACAATGACCCACTGTACAAATCCAGTATTGAATGACAACCATTGTTGTTTACTCAGTATGAGGCTCTTCCCTGGTCAGATCAATCTTCAGCCTAAACTCTTGTATTATGACTACTGCTGCTGATTCATCCAATTAAAAATCTTTGTCTATCCTGGTATAAAACATTTGTCAACACTGTGACATAGTGGCAGCATCAGACAATAAATCTATTTTTTTCATTTCCAATGACATTTGCATGCCCTGAATAATCACTATGTTACCATGTACAAGCAATATGCTTATCAACATGCATAAATTACGGCAGAATGATGCAGTTCTCTCACAGACAGGTATACAGGAGTGCACTGGTGCACAATTATTTTTTAGACTTGTGTAAAAATACAGCAATGAGTGGTGCACAAGTAAGCCCCTGACTATGGCACAAAGAAAAATGAATGACTGGTGTTCAGTTATATCACTGTTTTGGGCACAAGCATATCAAAGACTGGTACAAACAAATATAAAAGATAAGTATGTCACCCACAATCATCCTTCTTGTGTCATTAGATGTCATATAGGACTCATATTTAATTCCTCCCTTCCACTTTATTGCATGCAACCCTTTAAATTTCTGAAACGGACTTCAGTCCAGTGTTTTGAGCTTCTCGTAATAATGTTCTTCCTAATGTTTCGCTTGGATGTTTCAAGCCATAAAAGACTTATTTATTTGACTTAATTAAAGAGATGGCATTTTATTGACTTAACTGGAAAAGAAAGGACTCTACAAGAATTTATACTACTTACCAAAATTGTATTCAACAGTTTCAAATAAATAAAAATAATCTGCAACATCCTCTAAGTGAAGCTTGGACACAACCGCCTGAAAATAAAGTTAAAATATAAATGTAAATCAAATAATGCCACTAGGCGCTATCTGTCTAAGCCAATTACCAGTACAAATTTAAGAATTAACATCAGGTCATACCAGCATAATCACAGATGCACCGTCTCCCACAGTAAAAGTCTTCAATAGAACAGGAGAGTTCGAAAATAATAACAGATACTATGTTAAGAAATAGTAGATCTAATAAAATGGCATAAGGATATAATTAGAAAAAAAATGAAGAATCAAAATACATTACTAACATGAGAACAAACATCGGCACAAGATGTAACGATGTTTAAACATTTTATATCTCATGACAAATGAAAACATTTCTAGAGAACTGTATTCTCTTTTTTTCTATTTCACTTCTGTCATTATTTTCTATCAATTTTCTTACATTTTGCTTGTATCCATGTTTGTTTAGTGGCATTACATGTGAGACTTATTTCTGTGTTTATTATTGTTTATTCTGGAGCATTTTTCACTTTATTTCTTTATAGTACAATTTTAATGAGTGTTCTATTCAATTTTGTTTATTTTGCTTTTTTTTTTTAATTCACAGGCAAGTGGCATTTCTAATCTCTATACTAGTTTTGAATACTTATATTCTGTACTAATTTTCTCCCCATATTTTAAAACCAAAAGTGTTCCATGTTTTTAACTATTAGGTTGTAATATTTATTTATATCTACTTTTTTTTTCAATGCTTATAAAACTTAGATAAGCAGAAGTCACAGGGACCTAAGAAAATTGTTTCACTTAACAGGACTTCTTATCCAGACAGCACATACAACAGGGAATGTACACTCAAACCAAGCAGTATCATTGAGTAAAACAATTATACCAGTTAGGAAGCATCATAAGTTAACAAATAAACAGCAATACAATATCATGAATGTTGAAATACTTTATTGTAGAAGATTCTAACATTATAATAGCATCAAGAAGGGTTATTTTGAAATCAAAACTGAGGTGAGCATCCATATAACCTACAAGTTTTGACAACATTGTAGATCTTTAATGGACTGTAAGGTTTTAAATGATACCTTGATCACAAGGCTGAAGTGTTGTTATGGCATTAGGCGGTAGAAACAGAAGTTCTGTTGCTCTCTAATTATCAGTTCTTCTGTAGGGCAAACAATTGTCAACGATTAAAATAACTTTTTAACGCATCACTGGAGGATCAAATTCTTGTAGCCACTCAGCGAACAGTTCTGATGCCTTTAAATTAGCTCTGTAATTAACACACAATTTTGGCAGGCATTTAAAATGATGATTTTTAAATTTCCCAATCATGAATAAAGGCCATTTTTAATTACTAACCCTATTGTAACACACAACCACTGTTATTCTATCTTTTGATTTTTTTTCCCACCATGACATTTTTCATTTTTGAAGGAAAATGTTTTATCAGGCAACAGTCTCCAATAAAAGCCAGTTTCATCAGCATTAAATATATCCACAAAATTATATTTAGCCAAAGCAGGTTTAAGCACATCTTCTGTCCATGAGTTAGTCGTTGCTTCATCAACAGATTGTTTCTCTCCACACACACTCTTGTATATTATGCAATGATTTTTTTTTAAACGATCTAACCAGCCAGCACTACATTTCCAGTCTGTCTGACCTCCAAGACGTGCACATTCCTCTGCTTTTGCCATAATTATTGGCCCATTCATGGGTACATTTGCATAAGCACAGCAAACCATTTTAAAAGGGCAGTATCAACAAAATCGCATGTCGCTGTTCTAGCTCGCTGTCTGACACTTTTGATTTTACACTAAAAAAAAAGCAATGTTTGGTAGCATTCTTCATGCTTTAAAATGCCAGAAAGCGTCGAGCTTGGAATACCATATTCCCTATCCAATTTCTTCTTCCCACTATGTTCAATATCTTCCAAAAACAGTTCAGTCTTTCTTTTTAAAGTTAAAGTAGTCAGCTTTCGACCGCCAGCCACCACTATTAATTAACTGCATGTATGGAGATATCGTAGCTGCGAGATTTCCTGTTATTTCCCAGGCTGACTAAAGAAACCAATTTTTAATAGTGATAACTAGAGCTGTACCGAATATTCGCTTTGTATTCGCTTCAGGGCCGAATAGTGGACCTATTGACTATTCGGTATTCGGCCAAAAAGTTGCGGTCGGGCCGAATACGAATAGTAGTTACCTTACACCCGCTTCTGCATACATGGCCTTAATGCTGACAACATGGAACGATTGGTTTTATTGAAAACTAATGCAGCTTTCCAGCATTAACTGAGCTGTCAGTGACAATTTCCAAGTTTAGTTACTTGTTATAATACTTAGGATTATTTCATTCCTAGTTATTAGTTACCACAGACTGACTGAAGGATGTAAAACATAAAATGTTTTTAAACGTTTACTATTCTGTACGAATACTAACTAGACATGGAAAGAATATAAACTCCGGCCACATCCAAGTCGATAATATGAAAATCAAACGAACGGAAACATATAAGTACTTGGGTGCAAACTTCAACTGTTCCAACATGCCGAGAGAAGAAATACAATCTAGAAATAAAGTATACTATGCCTTTCAAAATTTGCTAAAGTCAAAGTGTCTGTCTCGCAACACCAAGATCAAAATATATAAAACATTGACCAGTCGTTTTATATGGCTCTAAAACTTGAAGCAGAAATAAAAGATATGAGGCTTTCGAAAACACTCTTACGACAAATCTTTGGACCCATCAAAGATGCTAACAGCGGGGAATGGAGAGTGAGAAGCAACAACGTAACACATATTTTGTTTAAATCACCATTGATCACTGACATCATGAGAACTAACAGACTAAAATGGTTGGGGCATATTGAAAGAATGTCAGATGTCAGAGAAGTAAAAACTGTATACACCTGAGAGAGGAATGGGCGTAGACCACGAGGCAGACAAAAAAGAAGTTCGAGAGATAATGTCCAGCCAGACCTGCAAACAACTGGTGTCACAAATTGTGAAGATAAGGCCAGCCAGAGAGATGAATGGAGACGAGTGATAGCTGCAGCAGTAAACCTCAAGGACTCAGGCTGCTAAAGAAGAAGATGACTATTCTGTGCTACTTTATGTGAAGAAAAGTTCAGCATACTTTTGACATTGTGAATGTGTGTGTGTGTGTGTGTTTTTTTTTAGATATACTATACACTATTCGTATTCGTATTCGGCCGAATAGTTGGTCCCACTATTCGTATTCGGCCGAATAGTGAAAATCACTATTCGGTACAGCCCTAGTGATAACAAACAGTTTGACTTAAACAGGAACTGGCAGATAGGTGGAATTTATTTTTAGATATCCAAATATTTGAGTTAACCGAATTCGACTTAACAGGATTTTATATACAAAGATAAAGAAGGAAAATGACTTAAGCAAAATTCGTCTTATCAGAGTTCAATTTAAGTGGACTTGACTGTATATCTATTTGGGACAAACTTGATATCTCTATTCCTGTGTGTTTGTGTATGTGTGTATTTTTATTAAAGCTTTATTTGTATTACATGATTCAGTCTGAGTTTATAACTGCATATAAGTATGTTCTGGCATTCTTACTCAATACTGCATCATTTTCTTCAGAATGAGGATCTATGTGGGTCTCCCCAATGTTTACTCACTCTCAAAGGACCCCTACAACTCTAGTTTGTTATGTATGCCCAAGAGAAAATATCCAATGGATGCAAATTACCTGAGACCTCTTAAGCATGCTTGTTACTCTGCACCAAGTATATTTATCTCCACCTTTCTCAACATACTCTGTGAGTCAGTTACAATAGCTATATGTGTGTGCAGCTGGTTCTTAAGCCAGCACAAAGATCAAGTGACTGCCTCTACCTCTATTCTCATACTAGATGTTGTATCATATGCTAGGCATTGTTGCACTAGTGGTTGTCCATTTACATTTCCTGTGAACCCCATGCAATCCTTCTGCCTCTTAAGACACAGCCATCTGTATAATTTATCACAACACCAAGGAGGGAATTGACATGAATCATGCTTTGAATTTCTGATTCAATAGTGCCTACTGGCTAGTTGCTGCACTTCCTGTTCAGGGTGATCAGAATAGCATTCTTTGTTCCATGCCGGTTGCTGCCTTAATGATGAGTAAAAGTCAAAAGTAAAGGTCACACTCCAAAGGCACATCAGGCATGAGGCTAAACACATATTTTTATATACCAATCAGCCCTTGATGGGTTATGCAGTCAACTTTGTGCTGATAATGTTTAGTGCATGCATGCAAATGATGGACAATGAGTAATGAGGACACCGGAAGCAGTAAAACATGGTTTCTGGAAGAAGAAAAAACCATTCAGAATAGTGAGGATAGAGAAGTACAGTTTATACACAAAAAACAAAGAGGTATTGACAGATGGAGGCATTTTTCAAGCACTCAAGACGTTCTTAAAGACATTTATCGAGCACACTGTCCCTTTCGCTGCTACATACTCCACAGCCATCATTACCACAGTGCTAAGTAAGTTCCCCACTGATCCTTTTTCCTGTGCTGAATATTTTTATTTTCTTCTAACCCAAAAGATGCCTTGGCAATGCAGGCAATATTTTGTACATCTAAAAATATTCACCCTAGGAAGATAGCTGATTGGCCCGAATGCTGACAAGTCAGACGCACTATGGCGACCCCAAGAAACCTCACTTTTACAAAAAACGAAACACTAGAAACTAGATTTAACTGCCCGGCTTCACTAGGGATAGTGAAAGAAAATGTATCCTCTGCTAAGTCTACTTCATTGTTGCCTCCACCATTGCAGTATATGTAGTAGAAACTCCACAGAGAAGCGAGGACAACAGTAGTCTTCCAATCGTCAGCAGGAACAATCTTTAAATGTTTAGGCCTCTTTACCTTCCTTACAGGAAGATAGTGCAAGACAATTTTTATGCTCTTGTCTTCTACTTATTTCATCTCCACCACTTCCGTGTGCTTGCTCACTGCCCCGAGTGCATCAGAGGCTCTTACCACCCCTGGCCC